TGTTTATCTTCAGCTGTCACTATCAGTCAAAGAATACATAAAAAAGACCCACCGATCCGATAGAGTAAGTAAGTATGTGTGTGTATGAAACGGTGTGTATGAAGTTTGCATAGGGAGGACGATGGGGTGGATGGTTGGGTCAAACAAACACAGTCCTGTGTGAAACCAAAAGTCAATGCTGCCTTATTTTACGGTAGAAATATGTTATCTTAGGTAATGTACTTAACTTTTGTTGCCTAAACTCAACCAAACTGTGACCTCAGTAAGCTTAATTTTTAAACTGTAACCAGATGTTGAATATTTATTATTATTATTAACTTGACCGCGGATTGATAATGTGTTGAAAACAAGACAGCACAATAGTGGACCGACGTGGGTATTACGTGCTTTGGCGCGATACTGGGTTGCAAACACAGTTAGATGAACATAAAGGGGCACTGAGCAGCTTAAGAGGCAGATATTTCCTTCAAGAGCTAAAAGGAGGGCGAACATTTGACTTACATTGATCAGCTGGACACGAACACACAACTCCAAATAAATTCTAATGTTGCCATATCAACTTAAAACATCATACAGTGTCACTCACCCTTGTTGAAGACACATACAATTAGCTTAGCTCAGCAAAAAGCCTGGAAACAGCTTGGTGCTGAACTGAGAAGGTGATTTACTTCTTGAATGAATGAATGAATTTAAACTTTTTATACATTTCTAGTTGACAGCAGGTTCTTTAATCAAAGTAATAAACATCAAACGAGAACAACAAAGACAGTCGGTGGATCAGCAGCATAAGAGTGTGGTCGCACTGGGCAGCTCTCCCGTGTGAAAGCCGCTGTTATGTCATTGATTTTGGAAGGACGCTGCTGCTGCCGCTGTGTCTTGTGCAAACACACCTTTACCGACACAGCTCTGACATAAGCTTTCATAACGCCTCACTTTATGTCAGTTTGTGCCTCTTTTGCAAACTTCAAACACTCCGTCAGAGCAGATTCACACTGAGGTTGATGTCTAAAAATAAAATGCCAGGACCAAATCAGGACCCCAGGTGCTTACATAACCACCCTTCTCCTTTTCATACAGTTTATTTTTATGTTTGAATTAGCACCCACACACATCTCCACCTGGCAAAACACAAATTAATCTGTTGTTACTTTATGTTAATTCTCTGTTCGCCCCCATTATGTAGTTATTAATAAGCACTGAGAAAGACGTTTTGTCTCTCATATCTGTCAGTTTCAATACTCTGACACGACTTTAAGCATAAATCTAATGTTAGTAATGTTAAAAACAAGCTGGGCTGCAACCAGCGTTAAGGTAAGGATGTAAATAAATGCCCTTCAGTAACTGATGTTTCCCTGCAGCAGTTGTGATCGACCATCTGACTCGAGACGCTGGCAGCGATTCATACTCAGCTCAATTTCTGTCCAGCTGGATGTTTGAATATCCGTCAGAGTAATTTATTACACATAAGGATTAATGCATTTTAGTGCAGAAATTTGGGTCCTTGGTTTTAATACTTTAAAGACTGTATTGACTCTCATCCAGCTTCCTGTTTGTTTGTGTCTGGGTCAGCAGACAGATATCTGACCTGTTACTGACATCTGCAATCTTCTGGGGTTTGGTTACATTTACAAAAACCTGCAGGGCTCAAGCTTTTCGTATGATAATAACATAGTAGATATAATGTAGCTCACAATATGAAAAACATTGATAAAACTTTTTTTTAATTAAGTCTGTTTCCTTATAAGTTTCCTGTATATTGGTACTAATGAGGGAAGGTCCTGAACGGCTATTTGAGTTGGTTAATTGTGTAGTTGTTGTTTTCCATTGCTCTTTTTTGCAATATTTTCTGTTCATTTATTATTGAAAACTTTTTTTTGTGAATAGTTTTTTTTCTTATTAATATAACAGTCACAGTAACTTACATTGTAAACAAACATATGTAATTATAAGAAAAAAGAAAAATATATGCGCATAGGTATACTCACATGTATAGATAAGCACCCAAATACTTTATAACATAAGTATATGAATACTTAAAGCAAGTAAATAAATGTTAAAAACAGTGAAATACATAAAAAACAAATCAAATTTGATAGAAAACTAGAAACCTTTGAATACGAATTGCACATTTTTTGCATGTTATGTACATTGACTGAAAGACACTAGCTTAGCATTCAACTGACACTATTAAATTGTGAGTCTACCAATTAAAACTCTGTCTCTGTTTTATTTATTATTACACAGTTCATTCAGGAAACTTCCCATTTACTACTATTTAATTCCAGTAAGATAAATAATTATGAAGGTATTTGTTTAATGATCTATGGATGCTTCAGGACCAATGAGGCTGCGGTGCTGTTGTTTTTAAAAAGAGCTGCTGTTGTTAGTTACAGTATATTTATCAGTGGTGGTGGTGGTGGTTGGGGGGGGTGAGGTCTGGTTCCCAGTATGGTGGATGACAGAGCAGCTGCTCCCTGCACTAACCTTGGTTCCAGATATTTCTGAAGGCTGATCTCTGCGGAGCAAAGATTATTTTCCTGCCACAGAATCACTCGGTTAACAAGATTTGTTTGTCTGCAACGTCGCCAAGATTTTACTCCACTATATTTCCACTATAGAGGGAAACAGCTATAGTTACTATTTACTTAATACATTAAGGTTTTAGAATAAAAAACAACACATTTTAAAGATTAAAGTGGTGGTTCACAACCTTTTGGCTTGTGACTTCTTTCAGTAAATCAGTGTCTTGTTTGTCTTTAAACCTCTCAGATAATTTCATTTAAATAGTAAGTAAAAGTATCCAATGATTCACAAAAAAAGCAAAGATTAGAGAAAAGTCCCTTTCCTCTCTCATTAATGATCTAATAACACAAACAGATTTATATGATAGTTATAAACTAGCAGCTACAACAGTAAAATACTGCTTACACATTAATAAATCAGTATTAACGATCTAATAATGTCACATATAACAATTTGTCAGTCTACAGAAAGAGTACTTTTACTTTTGATATGCACATTTAGCCAATAACATTTAAAGCCTAGGATTTAGTGGCATCTAGTGCTGTAGTTGCAGATTACAATGCCCTCACCTCACCCTCAAGTGTGTAGGAGAAACTAAAGTGTCTGCCAGTGTTTGGTTTGTCTGTTCTGGGCTACTGTAGAAACATCTCATCTCATTCTAAAGTACCGAAAACACAACAATTACTATATTTTTTATTTATTTCTGCTGACAGATAAATGTTACGCACTGGACCTTTAAGTTAAAGAGCTGAATACTTTTTCTCCCGCTGCTCATCTGAGCTAATACTAAGATCATCAGTAGTTTCTGGGACTTACTAGAGCAGATTGAAGCTCTTGTGCATTTGTTTTGTGGACAAAGATAATTCCCCTTTGTGAGTACAATATTGTGGATACTTTTTAAATTATTTATAAGAAAAAGTCCATGGGAAAAGTGCTTATTAAGATCATAGTAAGATATTATTTTTGTCCTCCACCTTGTTGTTTCTGGATCAATCGACCACGTTTTTGTCATCAGCCTCTCCAGTTGGCCCTGACACCGACTTTATCGCCTCTCCACATGCTTTTTGTGGCCCCGTGCCTCTGTGATCATCAGACCGAGAGGGTCACATTCACAGAAACTCTTGGCTGCTGACAAATAACACAAACCTTGCAATGTTGCTGCTGGACGTTGCTGTTTCAACTGTTTAAAGGGCGATTGCAACATCCCAAACAGCCTATACGGTCTGTAACCGTGAGCCTCTCCTCTTCATGTGACACCGACAACAGCTGCTGCTCCATCCTGTACGTTCCTGTCTCACCTCCCCCCTCCTCCCCTTAGTCTGTCCATGTGTGGAGCCTGTTGACCAGCGAGCCAATGGATGCTATTTAAAAACATCCAAGTTCAGACACAGAGCAAATGAGGAGAGAGGGAGGGATGGGTAAAAGATGGCTGGAGAGAATCGTGTACACATTTGTGGTTCACTGTAGTTGTGTTAGTGTTAGTGGTAGTGTGTGTGTGTGTGTGTGTGTGTGTGTGTGTGTGTTAGATACTTTTTCCATGAGGATTAAAGTTTACAACTAAAGTTACAAGTAGGCTGTGATTCAGGTTTCAGGAGCAGTAACACTGGTAGTAACATTATGAGCATTGTCAGTACTTCTTAAAATAGAGGAGGTTATTAAAGAGGTCAGTGACAGTGGGGTTATGATCGGACTTATCAGAGATGGTTGTAGAAATAGAGACGTATTGCTAAATAAGAAACCTGTTAGAAATGAATGGAAAATCAGTTAAGTGACGCTTATGTTTGATATTCTGAAAAAGGTGTCTGAAGTATTAAACTCAACACAGTGATGACCTCCAGGGTTGGGAGGGTAAAAATGTAAATCTGATACAGTAACTACATACCATGTAATCCAATATTCAAGTCACGTAACTTTAACGTTACTTTCTGTTACTGTTGGATTACGTCAACACCAAATATGCAAATTAAAACAAGGGAAAATAAATATCAATAAGAAGTATTAATAAGAGTTTATTCAATAAGACAACAGAATAATGTAACCGTAGAAAAGAAAATGGAAACCAAGATTTTTAGCATCAAAAATGTGTCCTCTGCTCTGATGTATATTAATATTGTAATCCTGCTAATAATCCCCATGTTTATTAAATGTAACTGTAATCTGATTATGTCTTTTTATTATGGATTACAGTTAACTTTTTTTGTGTCCTGATTATGTAAATCTGATGACCATAAAATGTCTAATTCAACTTAAAGTTATTAACAAGACCATTTTATTGTCTGTGTTTTATCTGACCTTTTTTATTGTGTTTAGCAAGTTTATTTATTTTATTATTTTAAACATTTTGGGGACTTTTATTGCCTTTGATTAAATGAGACAGCTGGAGGGAGAGGAAAGTGAAGGGAAAAATGATTTATTTATATGTATATTACTCTGTTTTATACAAGAACTGGGATTAATAAAGTAGTTTGAATTAAATTGAAGATAAGGAGTATACAGCTCTGTGAGGCTGTATTTAGGCACAGCTAAACACTAACCAATGACAATGCTAACGTGTCGATAATGTTAGCAAACGTTGATAACATTTGGTAATTAAAACACAAACATTCGATGAAAAGTCCGATGATCATCCTCTGGGAACCACGAATGTCTGTTTCATGGCAACTCATCCAACAGTTGTTGAGTTATTTCAGTCTGGACCAAAGTGGCGGACCTACTGACCGACAGAGATATTTCCATCCTTACTACCCAGCCTCCAGCAGGGCTACAAAAAAAGAAAATACACATAAAACTGGTGCAGAAAATACAAATACAACCAACATGAAAAGAATAAACTAAAAGTCAGACTATAAAAACATCCAGTTCAATCTCCTAATTAACTGACAATAAATGTGTCTAATAACCAGAAGCTGAACCAAAGATGATAAAATGTAAAGTTTGATGGGGCTCAGTGAGGGAAAGATCAGGTAGAACTGGCTCACAACGAAGGTCCAAAATAGAAACTGGGCTTACTTTTCCTTTCCACCCTGACGTAGCACTGAGGTGAACTCGGCACTGGCCACAGACAAATAACAACAAACTGTGAGCCAGGAACAAAGAGCATCACCCTGATGTTTACCGCCAGCTCGCTTTAAAGCTCCTCAGCACAGCAGAGAGACTCTCGTTGCAGATATTAAAGAGTCAATGTGCTGAATTTATGACTCCTCTCGGTTTGAGCTTCTGTCACAATAACTAAGAAAAATAGTAATTTGTCATTTGTAGCTGCTGTGGTAGATGAAGACTGAAACGTGTGTTGTTTCCGATGCTTTGTAAACAAGTAAGTTGTTAGAGTTGGACCTAAATCCCCAAGCACAGATTTAGATTTAGAGCTGATTCAACAAATAAAAACTTTATATCGGTACCTTAAAAGTGCTGCCAACTGGTGAAATCACCATCCGCGTATCGCCTTGCCAAGACTGGGAGACCCAAATAAAGAAATATGAAGTTTGCTGCCCCATCAGTGACCATTTATACAAAAAGTAAACAGTACAGTTTGCATCTCAGGCTTGTTGAGCATTGTTTCCATGCAAAACAAGTTCCACAATTTCACTGAGGAGTTCTGGTTTGGACGTAGTGCACAAGAGCTTTTAGTCTTTTTAATTCCCACCTATGCACTCCCTTACAGCCTGAACTGATACACAACTAAAACCACTTTAGTTACACACACACACACACTATGTTCTCCTGTTTGTTTATGTCAGACATCCTCTCCTCTGCATAGCAACACCTACATGTGATCCCTTGGCTCTCTGTTACAGTCCATACTACACTGATCTGCTGCATTGCGATCATGAATAAGATTCCCCAGTTGCTTTACAGTCGAAATGTACCGCATAAAACGTGCAGCAGCAAATGCCGGAGGCCGCTGTAAACCACAGGCCCGACCCTGAGCTTCATTTCTGGAAGGACACTCGCACCTGTCAGTCACACTGCTCCTGGCACCACAGAGACAGAGTTTGTGGTGATCCCCAGTTGGATTTAGAAATGGTTTTTTGGCACTCAGTCTCTGTCTGTGTGTTGTTGTGTTGTTGTGTGATGTTCAGGGATTAGCAGAGTAATGTGCATCTGTTAGTGGGTTTGTTGTGTCCTCCAATGACCATGAAACATGTGATTTTAAATCTGGAGACATTTTTCAGTTGTTTAACAGGCACACACAGTTAGCTGGGAACACATTATTCTCTTAAATAATTGAAGGTTTAAAACATTAATTTCACATTTTAAAAGAGGTGGAAAGTGATTTTTTGTTTGCACATTTTAACCAATTTACCCCCTAATCTCATAACATTTACAGCACTGATTAACATAATCCAGATTCCTTAACACTGACTCTCGCTTTACATATCTAATCCATTACCACATAGATTAGTGTTTTCTTTTATCACGGCAGCTTGTCTCTGTTGAAACACAGATTGACGTCAAAAAATGACAGAAAGATATAGATTGGCTCCACTCCAGCTCTCTCTGAATGTTTATTTTATAGAATGAATCCAAACTGTCGATAACGTCTGAGTGATTACGACGGACTGAAGTTACTTGTAACAACAAAAGCCGTCAGATACTGTAAAGGTGAAGGACAAACTGAAAGCACAGATTGACTTCAAAATGAAACTTCTAGATGTGGTAAACTGTGCTTCATTAAAGAGACTACAAGAGTCAGGGTGGGTTGACTGCCATTAACTGGCTGTTTATTAAGAGTATATACTAAAACTCGGAAAGCTGGAAGTTGATTTTCTGAAATGAATACAAACTTTAAGCAGCAGGGAAGTCAGGAAAACTAACATTTCTGTATTCTGTAACTTAAAAACCAATAAAATAAAGATAAATCAAAGGGTTTGGACAGATTGTGCCTCCACTTTGCCTATAACATCTCTGTGTTTTCTCTTGTTTTTCAGGTGCCGTGTGTCTGTCAAGAAGTCAACTCTGTAAACCTCACTTATACTGCACTAAACCATTTACTAAATTAAGTTAAACCCTACAACAACAACAAAAAACAACAACCTCAACACTCACAAACAATGGCCCCTAAGAAGAAGGCCTCCCGCCAGAAGAAGCCTGCAGTGGAAACCATCTCTGAGGTTGCCATGGAGACCGCCCCAGTGGCCCTGAAGGTGGAGAGCCGTGGCGATGGTGTGGTGGTGGTGGAGACCGGGGTGAAGAAGATCGAGCAGATGGCGGCACTGGACATCGCTCAGCTCAACAGCCTCAACCTGCCTCTGCCGCCGCCGGTCATCAAGCCCGGGGAGAGAGGCCTCGGCCTCGGCAGCGAGCTGACGCGACCCCTGCACGGCAACGCCCTGCTGGAGGAGCTCAGCAAGATGCGTCAGGAGAAGTTGGTTCCACTTTCTTTTATTTGCATCTTAATTTTATTGCTTTGTGATTAATGCTGAATAATTCTGATATAAAATGTTAGAATTAAGGTTGATACAATACAATTATAATACAATATAATACATCTATTATACGATACAATTACGATACAATTAAATGTTATTACAATATAATTATGATTCAATAGAAATATGATATGGTAAAATTATGATAGAACAGAATTATATCACAGTAAAGTTTTGGTACAATTACGATTTAATACAATTACATTTTGATACAATATCATTATGATAAAATAGAAATACGATACAGTACAATGATACAATACAATGAAATTTGAATACAATATAATTATGATACTAGATAATAGAAATAGAATATGTTACAATTACTATACAGTACAATTTTGATACAATACAATTACGGTAGATATGGTCGAATACAATTATAATATGGTACGATTACGATATGATACAATACAGCTACAATGTGGTACAATAATGGTACAATGATACAATACAATACTCATATACTACTGTACAAATTCTATCGTATTACATGGTAATTATCCCTTTCCTACTTCATTATACCGTTATGTTTTAACATATTTACTGTATGTGTGACATCCATCCGTCCCACTGTGTGCTCTCCTCAGGTTCCTGACCGACCTGGAGTTGGCCTGTAAGACAAAAGCCTTTGACGTCCACAAGCTGGTCATCTCCTCAGTCAGTCAGTACTTCAGAGAGATTCTGGCTAAAGATCCTAACATGAAGCGCCTGGAGCTCCCCTCCCTCTCACCTCTAGGTATCCAATCACATCTACCAATTCATCAATCAAACGTCGTTCAAACCCGCAAGAGTTTAACTTCTAATCAAATATATTATGCTTTACTTCAGGAAAATTAGCACAAAATGGATAAGCTGATTGTCATTTAATGTCAAATGAATCTGTATTTATTCTTTAAGTCATTTTTCAAGTAAGAAATTCCCCAAATTGTCTGGTTCCAGCTCATCAGTTGTGAGGATTTGCTGTTTTCTTTGTCTTATCGGATAATAAACTGAGTATCTTTGAGTTGTGTTGGTTGGACAAAACAAGTAATCTGAAGACTACATCAGGGTCGAAGGCCACTATCTTCTCACATCATATTGGCCAAATGATTAATTAATAGAAAACACATTCAACAAGATTAATGAATAATTTGGATAAAAAACCAAAAGGTTGTTGTATTTTACTCAGCATGAGCATCATGAAGCCTCAATGATGAACTTTAAAGCTGCTTGAATTTAAGAAAAAACATCCGGTCACTTTTTTTTAGAAAAAGTCTCTTCTGGGTTTCCCCACATTGGAGTCTTTTGGCTGAATCAAATGTCTCTCCCCCTTCTGGCTGCAGGTCTCGCCAACGTCATCACCTTCGCCTACCTGGGTCGCGTCCACATGTCCCTCTACACCATCGGCTGCACCGCCTCTGCCGCCTCCACCCTGCAGATCCCTCAGCTCCTCAAGATGTGCATGGACTTCCTGCTTGCCGAGCTCAACGTGCAGACCTGCGTCTACATCTGGAACATTGCCGCCGCCTACAGCCTGCTGCCTGTGTGCGACGCCGCCCGCCGCTTCGTCCTGGAGAACTTCGTGCAGTTCGCCAACACGCCGCTGTTCACCCAGCTGACCCTGGAGCAGATCTCTGCCTTCCTGCAGGACGACTCGCTGCTGTTGCCCTCAGAGGTCACTGCCTTCCAGGTCAGCAGCCAAATTTTTGTTTGAATGACTTCTTGCGCTACAATAAATCACAGCTGCACTTTAATCTATTGTTACAGGAAGTCACTTTTAATCTGAATTCGGCTCAAAACATTCCTGCCATCAGTTAGTGAGAGCTCACTGATATCCTAGATCCCAGGAGGCGACTGCTGCCACTTCCAGTATTAACTCCTCGACCCTCCGGACCTTCCTTCTATTTTCATTGCAGACCTAAAAACAGACCCCAGACCAGCAGCTGAGAGCATAACCCAGCTCCATGAATCAAAAACCAGTCACCTACAGGTCGACTGTGAGCAGAAACCTCCAAGTATAAATCACTGTATGAGAGAAGAGAGCTCGTTTATTAATATACTGCTTCATCGCAGACCTAAATAGACGAGCAGCTGAGGAGGAGAGAAGCAGCGATGGTTGCATTTATAAACTGGACCAAAGGTCAAATGACTGACATCCTGATTTGGGGTTTTTTTCAGTTTCACATGAATTGGTTGTATTTATTTTACTGTAAAGTCAAACTCATTTGATAACATTTTATATTTGATTTAATAAGTTCCTGATTTTAAGTGGTTGCCTTGTGTGAATCTATAAAACTAACATAAGCAGTAAAATATAACAGTTATTTATTACTTATTTCCTTTATCACATCAAATAAATGATTATTTTCCCTGTTTTTTCTTCCTCTATTAACCATTTATATTGTATATTATTGTTTATATGTATTCAGTCATATTCTTAACCTGTTTGATGCCTTTTACACAGTTTCACAGCCACATATGAAGCCCATATCGTCTTATCCACTGACAACCTCTCTCTCCAGCTGGCCATGAGGTGGCTCGACTTCGACGCCTCTCGTCAGACTCACGCCACCGAGCTCCTGTCCCACATCCGCTTCGAGACGATCCCGGCGAGCGAGCTTGTGAGTCAGATCCAGCCGGTGCCCCGCATGATGATGGACCCTCAGTGTCACCGCCTGCTGGTTGACGCCATGAACTACCACCTGCTGCCCTACCAGCAGAACACCTTGCAGTCCCGACGCACACAGGTCCGCGCCAGCCAGCAGACTCTGCTCACCATCGGTGGTCGACCATCACTCACCGAGAGAGCTCTCAGCCGCGAGGTTGGTTGGTGCTTCGTGTGACTCTGTGTGTTCACTACCTGAAAAGAAACATGCCTTACTGACCTTTGACCTCGGTGTCCAGGTGATGTGGAGGGACCCTCGTGAAGGTGGAGCTGCCTGGCGTCACCTCACCCAGCTCCCGGCAAAGAGCTTCAACCAGTGCGTCGCTGTGATGGACGGCTTCCTGTACGTGGCCGGAGGAGAGGACCAGAACGACGCCCGCAACCAGGCCAAACACGCCGTCAGCACCCTCAGCAGGTACGAGAACAGGAAGGATCGAATATCTTAACACATACAGGCAGAGAAAAGGGACCCACCAATCTCTATGGCCTGCTCTCTAAAGGACAGTTAAAGGCCACTTACTTGGAAAGTGTTGCAGAGCATCTAGACCAAAATCCAATTATTAACATGAACAACTACAGACTTGAGGGCTTGTTGGTTGTCCAACGTTGGCAGCTGCAGCCTCTCGTCCACTTCTGGTTCCAAAAACATCAAGACAAAATGCCAAAATTGTAGTTCACAAACCAATGGATGACATCTTCTTCTTTAATATAGTCTTTGGTTCTATGTGAGGTTGTATGATGCACACTAAAGGCTTTATTATTGAGCAAGTTAGATCAACTAAAGATTATGAGTTTCTTGAGTTTTTCAGGGTTTTCAGGGAACTTTGTGGGCTGCTTGTAGCCTTGGTCTCATGGCTGGAGGTCACCACTCACTCGGGTTGGTGCCGGTTGGTGATTCAACCCCTCTAAACATGACTCTGCCCTTTTCACCTCCACCAGATATGACCCTCGCTTCAACACCTGGCTCCACCTGGCCAGCATGCGCCAGCGCCGCACCCACTTCTCCCTGGCAGCCAGCGGCGGCCGCCTGTTTGCCATCGGCGGTCGCAACGTTGAGGGTCTGCTGGCCACCACCGAGAGCTACCTGCCCTCCTCCAACACCTGGCAGATGCGTGCGCCCATGGAAGTGCCCCGCTGCTGCCACTCCAGCGCCACCCTGCCCTCCGGAGACATCCTGGTGACCGGCGGGTACATCAACTGTGCCTACTCCCGCTCTGTGGCGTGCTACAGAGTGGAGACCGACACCTGGACCGAGAAGGCCTCCCTGGAGACACCCCGCGGCTGGCACTGCTCCGCCACCCTCGGAGGGAAGGTGTACGTGGTGGGAGGAAGCCAGCTGGGGCCCGGCGGTGAGCGGGTTGATGTTCTCTCTGTTGAGGTCTTCTCCCCGGAGAGCAGCTCATGGAGCCGTGCCGCCCCTCTGCTCCTCGGCGTGAGCACCGCCGGCCTGTCCCCGCTGGCCGAGAAGCTGTACCTGCTGGGAGGCTGGA